AGGAAAGAAATGATTTTACTACCACATAAATAGGCAAAGCATATAACAGAAAATTCCCAAAAGAAAAGGTAGGTAGCTAATAAACATTCCCCAAAAGTTTACTTTTACTTAAAAAAAATAAATCACATGTGGTAAAAGCTTCACATTATCAAATGAGTAAGTTTAAAATTAGAATAATTAGAACTGGCAAGGATTTAATGAAATAGACAATATCATATCTTGTTAGTGAGAATATAAAGAACCTTTTAAAGAATAATTTGACCCATATGCATTAAAAAACATTCAGACTTTTAACTTAGTATTCTACTTCTATGACTTTCTCCAAAGAAAAAATTCCAAACTACAAAGAGTTTTATATTAAAAGATGTTTTAGGTTCACATATGTGTATTCAAATATAAATACTTCTTTATATTCGAAGAGGTTCTATAAATAGTCACTTTTTTATATTAACATGTAATTAGAAATGGTCAATGAATAGGTAAATAAAGTACAGTAAATCTATACTATGAAATATTGCATTGCTCTTTCAGTTGGCACACATACCAAAAACACTACCATGCAGCACTGAATCCTATCAAGCCTCTAAATCTAACTACCAATTTACAGGAAGTACAAAGGACAGGAGGACATGTTAAATGTCACCATTTAACAAAAAAGTTAAATGCTGATTTTGCAGTCAGCAAAATCTAAAACCTAGGAAACTGTAGGACAACTGATATGGTTTATTCAACAAATAAATTACAAGAAAAAAATTTAAAAGAGATGGGCAACTCATGGACAAAAGAAATATCAGTCTGGGCATGGTAGGTGGCTCATGCCTGTAACCCCAGAACTTTGGAAGGCCAAGGCGGGTTGCTTGAACCCAGGAGTACAAGAGCAGTCTAGACAACATAGCGAGACTTCATCTCTACACACACACACACACACACACACACACACACACACACAATCAAAAAAGTATCCACGCATGGTGCTGTGCGCCTGGAGTTACACACACACACACACACACACACACACACAATCAAAAAAGTATCCACGCATGGTGCTGTGCGCCTGGAGTTCCAACTACTCAGGAGACTGAGGTGGAAGGATCTGAGGTGGAAGAATCTCCTGAACCCAGGAGGTCAAGGCTGCAGTGAGCTATGATCTGCAGTGAGCTGTGAGCTGCAGTGAGCTGTACTGCAGCTTGGACAACAGGGTGAGACTGCAACTTCAAAAAAAAAAAAGAAAAGAAAAAACGTAACCCATTTGTGTGGATATTATTTGGTTCTTGATTCAAAAAAACTGAAACTTTTACAAGATAATTGGGCAACTTTTAAAACTGTATATTTGATGACACTAAGGAATTATTAAAGTTTTAGGTATAATAGTGGTAGTATAATTGAAATGCATGCCAATTTGTAATATATGCTGTTTATAATTTGTTTTGAAATAATGCTAGGTTGGATGCAATGGTGGTGAGGGGCTTCAAGTGAAGCAAGATTGGCCATGTGTTGATAATTATTGAAGCTAGGTGGTAAATATCTGCGGCTTCATTTTTCTATTCCCTCTATTTTCATGCATGGTTGAAAATACCCATAATTAAAAAATCCGAAAACAGTGAACATGAGAAATTTTTAGGTTAAAAAGAACAGAATGTACATGAGTACATTGCAGCTATTTTTTAATGCAGAAAAAGAAGTGCACAAGGAAGTAAAACAAAAATTACAACACAGAGGCAACTTAAGTGAGGCAATCCATGACTTTTTTCTTTAGAATGTTTGTTATTTATTCCAATGTATATACCTGCCAATTTTTTTTTTTTTAGTGAGCACTTCTTAATTTTCTTTATCTGTGTGAATCATTCAGAATTCTTTTTTTATGAGTTGGAGTCTCACTCTGTCACCCAGACTGGAGTGCAGTGGCCACTCCCAGCCACCGCAGCCTCGCCTGCTGGGCTCCGGCGATCCTTCCGCCTCAGCCTTCCGAGTAGCTGGAATTACAGGCATGCGCTACCACGCCTGGCTGATTTTTTTTTGATTTATTGTAGAGATAAGGTCTCACTGCCCAGGTGGGTCTCGAACCCACGGGCTCAGGCAATCCACTCACCTCAGCCTCCCAAAGGTGCGGGATTACAGGCTGAGCCACCGAACCCGGCTCATTCAGAATTCTAATGGTATAAGAAGATACACAGTGAAACTAGATCCACCCTTCATTTCTCAGGTATCCCCAGATGTAACTAGTGCTATCTATTTCTTTTACTGGGAAGATGTTTACTGTATATTCTTTTTTAAATTGCAAATTACCATGCTATCCACTGTTCCCATGTTTCTACTTAGTAATATATCCTAACCATATTTATATATAAAAGCACTCCCTCATTCTTTCATAACTTCTTAGCCTGTCTCTTTGGAAAGATACCCACATTTGCTGTATCAGACAATACTGAAATGACTAACCTGCATGAAAGTCATTTTACACATATGTCTGTATATTTATAGGAAGAACTGTTGGACTTGATGGGTCAGGTTACGTGTATATTTGTAATTCAATAACTTTTTAAAAATTGTTGTCAACAGAGAGTGCACAGACACAATACGGAAAAAACTAGTAGGTGTTAACTGCATTGCTCTTGGTATAAGTGTGATTGAGGATCTTTTCAGTTATGCTTAAGAGCTATTTTCCCCTTTTAGGAACTCTCTGTTTATAGCATTGGCCTTTTCTCCAACCATATTTTCAGGTATTTTTTAATTTGTAGAAACATTTTATGCATTTGGGGAATTAGCCTTTTGTATGTAAAATAAATTGCCAATATTTTCCCCCATTTTATTTGTCTCTTAACTTTGAATATGGTTAGGTTTGTGTTGTTGTTTTGTCACATAACAGTTTTTAAAGTTTTTATTATCTAATTTATCTTCTGGATTTTATGTACTTGTGCTTTCCTTGAGATCATTTACCAAAATTATTTCTTCTATTTTACACTTAAATCTTTGATGTATCTGGACATACCGTAGCATAAGAGGCTCCGGTCCAACGTAATTTGGTTTCCAAGTCACTACCCAGATGTGCCACATCCTTTGTCAGTCCATCTTTTTCCTCACGTGTTTCTAGCCTTTCCATCTGGTTCATGGTTTTATCTATTCTCGTTCCAATACCCTACTTTTAATTATTGAAGCACTGTAATATGAAGAAAGACCCAAAAAATCCAGGAATTACCTTGTGGTGGGCGACCTCCTTGTAGTATAGTTGGAATTTGTTTCTCCAGATCAAATGGTCAGCCAAAGTTTTTATCTGGAAGTTTTGAGAAGGTTGTGTCACAATTTGCAGAAGAAATGTCCTGAGTTGGGGCAAACAGGTAACTGGTTCTTCCACCATGACAACACACCTGCCCACACTGCTGAGTGTTCAGCAGTTTTTGACCAAAAACCGCATGCCCCTTATGCCCCACCCTCATTATTCACAGGATCTCACCTCAGCAACTTTTTTGTCCTCAAAGGGAAATGTTTTGCTCATGTGGAAGAGGTGAAATAAAAAACGACCAAAGCACCAAAAGGCATCAAAATTGACAAGTTCACAAAGTGTTTTGAGCTGTAGAAAAAGCATCTCAAGAGGTGTATTGTATCAAATAGAGAGTACTTTGAAGGTAATGGAAGTTTTAAAATGTAAGAATAAATGCACAATTTTTAAATAAAGAAATTCAACATTTTTTTGGATCCCCCCTCATATGCTTTTAAATTTTTAGGGACTAGTTCTGCCTCACTCAGAATTTTCCTGGCTCTTTTCTTGGTTCTTTCTTGTTGGTTTTTGTTGTTGTTGTTTGTTTGTTTTTAAGTCAGGGTCTCACCCTGTCATTCAGACTGGAGTGATATGGTCCGCTCTTGGTTCACTGCTGCCTTGACTTCCTGGGCGTAGGCAATCCTTCCGTCTCAGCCCCTAGTAGCTGGGACTACAGGCATGGTTCTTTGTTTTTTAATGGTAACTCTAAAATCAGTTTGTCTAGTTCAGTAAAAAATCATTTTGGTGTTTGTATTGGTATTAATTTAGGAAACACTGACTTTTTTTAACACTTATCATATCTTCTCATCCATAATTATGGTATGACTTTAGCATTTACATGTTTCCTTTATTTAGATCTTGTCTAAATTTTTTATGTTTCTTGTAAAGTTTATTTCTAAATTTTTCTTTTTTATTGGTGTTATAAATACTGTCTTTTCTTCCATTATAGCTTGTGATTATTGTTTGTACATGTATAGACTAAAGTATTATACATATATTCATTTTGTACCCACTCATTTTTTAAATATTTGTTTATTTGCTTATTTATTTATTTTTAAAGGCTGACAGTCTCAGTCTGTCACCCAGGCTGGAGTGTAGTGGCCTGCTCACAGCCACCACAGCCTTGACCTGCTGGGCTTAGGCGATCCTTCTACCTCATCCTTCTAAGTAGCTGGGACTACAGGCACACATCACCACACCCAGCTAATTTTTTTATTTATTGTAGAGACGCGGTCTCACCATATCGCTCAGGCTGTTCTCAAATTCCTGAGCTCAGGCAATCCTCCGGGCTTGGCTTCCCAAAGTGCTGGGACTACTACAGGTGTGAGCCACCGTGCCTGGCCTATTCTTCATATCATTTTTCAATTGCTGTTCTTGGATTTTCAAGGTATATATTCATACCATCTACAAATAACCCTTTTCATTACCACTCTTGTTTTTTCTCAAATAATATTGATACGGTATTTTTATTTAGAAAAATACCATTTAAAGATATAAATTTAGAAGTAACACATGCCTCTTATATTTAGCCCTATTCAGGCAAAATTCAGTGTCTTTTTACTAAGTACAGTTAGGCTTCTCAAAACTGAACATGTTCTGACTCCTCAGTAAACCTTCAAAAGACTTTTTAATGTTAATTTTTTAAAAATCAGTTCCTAACAATGAGGCATTCACAATGAAAAATAAAAAATTTTATTAATAGCATTTAAGTTTTGAAAAATGATATCATTGCTTTTTTCCTCAGGATCAAATGGCTATTGCATGTGGATCTCGAGCTCATCTGGAAAAGGAATCAATTGCTCAGGTGAGACATCATTAACTGACATGGGACAGCAACTTATATTTTCTTTTTTACATACATTTGGCAAGAAATAGACTTTCATATTTTACCTCTCAAAAATGGTGTGCCTTTCAAAAGAAAGGAAAATAATTTTTTAATTTTAGAAAGTTTGTGAAGGGTTGGCACATTTTGGAATTTATTATTTTTTTAAAGAGCATACAAGAATGGTGTGGACTTGGCTTAGAATGCAAGCAGTTCTTTTTAATACTTTTTGAAATCCATGGAATGCTTATTCAGTTATAATACAAGACAAATCTCTAAATGATGCATTGTTTGAACCAATCAACTTGCCTTTATTTTCTCTTATACTAGCACATATTTTAAAAAATTGAATCCTTCTGCCATAGCATCCTTAGTAGCTAAGACTACAGGTGTATGCCACCACACCCAGCTTTTTTTTTTTTTTTCTTTTTGTGACAAGGTTTCGCTGTGTTCCCCAGACTGGTCTCAAACTCCTGAGCTCAAATGATCTACTGCCTCAGCCTCCCAGAGTGCTGAAATTACAGGCATGTTCACCTGGCCCTGTATTGACACATTTAAATGCTGTCTTTGAATTTCAAAGTTTAAATATTTTTTTAACTTTATTTCTCTCAGTAAAAGTACTGTACTTTTTTGTAACTGCCTTTTTAACACTGAAGATGTTAAATTCTTCATTTTGTATATTATGCTAGAAAAGCTATAGTAACTTGAAAGAAAAAAAATCTTTTTAAGGAATTAGTCTATGCAATTAAAAAAAATTGGTTTTCACTTTAAAATGTAGTTCTACTCTATCAAGTCCAATAATGATCCATTATTTTTTCAGCAGTTCATCTTCTAGAGTGGTCAAATAGATGGAATAAAGCAGTATTATTTTCAATGCATGATCAGAATTATCTGGAGAGGTGTTTGTTTTTTAATGCATGTTCCTAGAGTAAGTCCAGACACATTGAATTAAGACTCTAGGGGTAGGACCAGGAGTCTTCAATTTTTAACAGTTTACCAGGTCACCCTTATGCAAGACTTTGAGAACCAGTGTAATAAAAGGTTGACCCTTCCCCCAATTATTCTAAAATAAGGTAAGAAGAAATTTTATTTTTTTCTGAAATATATGGATGACAGAGCCATAAAACCTCTAAAGAATTATATCTAAATGTAAAAACCCAGATTCTCCTTTTTTAGCAATAAATTATTGTTGTTGTTGTTTTTTTGAGTCAGAGTCTCACTCTGTCGCTCAGGCTGGAGTGCAGTGCAGTGGCATGCTCACAGCCACTACAGCCTCCACCTGCTGGGCTCAGACGATCCTTCTGCCTCAGTTTTTCAAGTAGCTGGAGCTCCAGGCACATGCTACCACACCCGGCTTATTTTTTTATTTATTGTGGTGATGTGGTCTCACCAAGTTGCCCAGGCTGGTTTCGAACCCCTGAGCTCAGGCAATCCTCTAGCCTTAGCCTCCCAAAATGCTGAGATTACAAGTTTGAGCCACTGCACCCTGCCAGAAATAAATTATTTTAATATCCTCAGCATCTAGTCCAGTATTCAGTACACCCTATGGACTCTTATGGATGTTTGAGAAGGGTTAATTTATTAACCATAGAGAATATCATACTCCTAGAAATTTAAAATGGGAAGACGAGCTTAGAGATGAACTAACCTAACTTTATCACTTTACTGATAGGCAGGGGATAAGAAAAGGAAAAAACACATGTCTAAGATGTTCAGCACATTATTTATCATTATAAAATACTAGAAACTCTGAAATACTAAATTCCAACAATAGAAAATATAGCTATAGCCCCTGAATAAAATGTTCAGCCAATAGAGCTGATGGTAATGGAGACTATATAATAGCATAGGATGATACCTTAAATATTTGATTGTATGAAAAAAGTGTGATATTGCAAATACGGTATTATTTCTGTAGATATAACAAAAATTTGTTTTTGCAAAAAAAGCCAATTAATGAAAATAGACCAATATTAATGTAATGGTTTTATGAGTAGATTTTTTTCATTTTTAAAAAAATATGTTAATGGAATGAAAAAGAAATAATTACTTGGTGAAGAAATAAAGCAAGCATGAGGAAATAAGAAGCAAGGAATGAATTAGGGAGCCAATGAGTAATCTAGGCAAGAGTAGTTAGCACTTATATTTACTGTTAGTGGCTATAGAAAGGAACCATGTGTTTTGGGGTTTTTTTAAATGATCTTAATTCTTGTCACTTAGAACTTAGAACTCTGAAGTTTTTCTAGAAGTACAGTAGTATTTAAATGAGACCATGTTATGGTCTAAATTTACTACTTTTAGCCAGACATCAAGAGATCTATCCCAGGAACTATATATGTATAATTTATCTTTTCTCCATCTATTAATTCTTCCATCTCTAAAACCAAAGGTTTGATTGAGTGCTTTTGGTCCCCACAGAATTAGCCACCATTCTGTAGAAAGAAAGGATAGCCTGAGCTATTGACCAGAGATCAGCAGCTGTCCACCACAGATGCTGTGTATAGCTGCTGCTTGGTAGGCTTGTTGTTCAAGTCCAGATTATTCTCATAGAACTTTACCCGTTTTATAGAAGGTTGTCTCTAAGAGGAAAGACATTCATCTGCTGCACAACCAGAAAACTGTGGCATGGTCTTCCATTTCCTTTCTTTGTGCTTTAGGTAATGCAGAGCCTTGCATGGTGATCTATCTATGGACAGTGAGAAAATAATTAAAAAATTAATCAATGAGAAAATAATTTAAAAATTAATCAAGATAGCAAATGGCAACTTCAGTAACTTATAGCTAGTATTCAGACATATCTTTCCTAAATATTTTTAAACATTTTTCAATTGGTCCTGCCATCTGTTTTAATTCTCTCTTAGAAGACAAAGATGATACGGCCCCAGCGGAGCCCTTTAGCATCCTAAAATGTTCATACTCCAATGTGTTCTGTATAACAGTAATGTTTATATACTGTCTGGGTAGTCTTGAATTTATCATTTTAAAAGGATTCAAAAATACAATCCATTGGTGGTTATTTAATGTTTTTAGTTTGTGTTTTCTGTAGAGATAGGGTCTCACTATGTTGACCAGGCTGTCAAGCTCCTAGCCTCAAGCAATCCTCCCACCTCAGCCTTCCAAAGTTACTGGGATTGCAGGCATGAGTCATCATGCCTGGCCTAGTTTTTCTTTGAAGAGTCTTTTCTTAAGTCTTGGGACTTTTTTAAACTTACATAAGATAATGAAATTAGCAGCCAGCTTCAATTTCACCTAAACTTCTTGTTTACATTTCATAAACAATGGAGATTTACTGTTAATATTGAAACAGTGAATATCTTTTTTGTTCGTGTTTTAAATGTCCGTTTCAGAAGTCTATATAAGGCTACCTTATGATCTTATTAGTCTATCCTGTAGATGTCTTTAGATGTCTTCTAAATTTTCAGATACTCTGCCAAGTTTTATAAATTAGAACAAGATCTTCTTGTTTGTGGCTTGCCTTATTATGCTTTTAAATATGGTAGAAATCAAATAAGTTAAGGTCTTCATGTGAACTCCATACATTTCTGCTTTTTAAAAATAGTCATTCTAAAACAATAACAAAAATCTTCTATTAACCATCAAGCGAAAACAGTCATGAATATTTTTATTTGCTAATAAATAAGCTCACCCAAATCATATTAAAAATCATTCAAGGAGAATAGTTTATAGGTATTGTTTTTTCTACCTTTAATTTTTATTTTTCTATCTTTCAATTTCTATTTGTTCCTTTCCTAAGCATAAATGCTCTTTTGGAGGTTTAATCAGTCAACCAGTATTTATTGGAAGTATTTTATATGGAAGGCACTGAGCAAGCTGTTGTGAGATTCCCAAAGTATTTTAAGATGAGGTTTCTGCCCTATCTTCTTAGAGAGGTAAGACATATTTACATCAAAACATAACTAATGATTCTAGGTGATAAATGAGAAATGCTAGATCATTTTTAAAAGTTTGTTTTACAGAACATAGAGATAAGTATTTTATTCTTCCTTTCCTTCCTGCTCTTTAATACCCAAGTAAAATTGTGGTCAGGAGAGTACAGTAAGCTTTCAAGCCTTCTTTCTTTATAAAAAGCACTGTTGAGTTCCTGTTACTTTCTCTACCAAACACTTGGGTATAGGCTTTCCTATAATCTCATTTAATCCTTATAAGAGCTTTGTGAGGTGGTCATTATCACTCCTATTTTATAGGTGAGGAACTGGGAGTTAGAGAGTTGCTCTTAGTAATACAGACAAAATTCAAAAGCAGGTGTCTGCTCATTTTGATGCTTTTTCTACCATGTTATGGTATCACTGTGTTCAATAGTGGTTCTGTTCCGTGATGATAGAAAAAGCCCATGAATGAAGAATAATACTGAAGGTTACAATTTTTAAAGGCAAAAGCCCAAGGGACCTTTATTTTATAGCATAAGATATTAGATGTTCTACAGAACTCCTTAATAGGTTGCTTATGTACATATGTGATGTATCATTCCATGGGTCTGTCTGTACCTTAACTATAGAACATTTTAAGAGATCCTATCTTTTATTAAATCTTAAGTGTGAACATCTTGAATACAGTGATAATTAATAACCTTATGTTTTAAAGTTTATAATGTTTAACAAATAATAGAATATTATCTCCTCTTACTACTACTAATGAAACTAATCACTAATAACAGTATGAATCCTCAGATAAAAACTGCTTGAGTTTAATTTTCAAAGTATGAAAGAACTCAATATTTAAAATAATATTTAATTAGATATCAGGCTAACTAATTAGAGAGACTAGATTTTTGCTTCAAACTCCTTTCTAGTCTGTAACCTGATACTCTGCTATATGTCTTCTATCAGTATTCTCATTGGCTAGGTATTGAACTACAGGTTCAAATATGTGGGGCAAAGAAGCATAAAATAAGTAGGTAAATGAGATGTTCTTCTTGCTCATAGCCCTAAACCTGTTCCTCATGGTAGGCCGAAGCCCTGGCCTCACAGATCCTTGTCTGATTCAACCTCCAGGAAGTCAGTAGCTGCTTATCTAGCACCTCTACTCTACTCTAAGCAGTGGGCATCCTTATTCTCGTGAAAATACTTTGCCAGTGAAGCTCATGGAACAATGATATTCTCATTTAAGATTTACCCAGTCAATTAAATGTTAAAATGCAATCGTCTACAGCCATGTGTTTTCAGTGTCTCCTTTGCAGATAAATGGAAAAGTCATTTATATTTTGTCTTTGTTTTCAGCGTTCTTACTTCCGTACTCTTCTCATGTATGGGTTCCACTTTCTGGTGTGGTTCCTTTGTGTCAAAGGAATCAGGGACACCCAGTGTGGGTTCAAATTATTTACTCGAGAAGCAGCTTCACGGACATTTTCATCTCTACACATTGAACGATGGTAGGTTTCTGACTGGAATGTATCTGGTCTATTTTATTACCCAGCAGTTATTCCCAGGTAATGAGAAGCAGCCTTATATTCTCACAATGAACATGCAGATTTAAACAAAATTGACACATATATGCAAACTTAATCATTGCCTTTCCCGGTTTAGATCTTATTTTGAAAATATACAAACCCAACATATGGTATAAAGTTATGTGTTTGCCTTAATTGTAGACAGTATAAACTGAGTGGCCTGAAAACATTGTTTCCTTAGGCTTCCTTTTTTTTTTAATTTTTTTTATTTTGAGGTAAAAAGAGGCTAGGCACAGTAGCATGTGCCTGTAATCCCAACTACTTGGGAGGCTAAGGTGGGGATCACTTACTCCTAGGACCAGTCTGGGCAACATAGCAAGATCCCATCTCCAGAAAACACCACCAACAACAATAATAACAATTTTGTTCTGAGCCCAGGAGGTTGAGGCTGCAGTTACCCATGATCATGCCACTGCACCCCAGCCTGAGTGACAGAGTGAGAACCCAACTCAAAAAAAAGGAAAAGCTTAGAAATATCAAAAGTAGAATAGGGTACCCAATTTTTTCTCTTTTCCTTCCTTTTATAGGAGATAAGGTCTTTCTCCTAAGACCAGTCTTTTGACCTCTACATGACTGTCCACCTTATCAAAAAACCCAGTCCTGTTCCTTTATTTTCTCTCTTGTGTATTCAGCATTTTACTCTCAATAGCATCTTTCCCAGAAACCCTCTCTGCTGACCCTGCTTATGATTTTCCAGCTCTAGCCTGTCTCCTTACAGCCAGCCTTTCTTGAAAGAGGAGTCTATATTCACTTGCTTCGTTTTCTCACTTCCCACTCACCACTCACTCTTCACCCCACCTTCATTTTTTTTCCTAGGTTAAACATTTTTAAGAAATGTAAATTTGGTCTTCAAATTTAGATACATGTTTTATTATGTTGAAGAATAAAATAAACTGATAGTTAATGGAGTCCAAAATCAGAAAATCTAATTTTAAAAGCGACTCTAGAAGGAAAACCATCTACGTTAGATATTTTTAACTCAGCTTAGGCACAGAAGTAGGGTCAAAGAATTAGGTTCTTTGTAGTTTGAAAGGAAGGTCTTAGAAATGGTGAACACTATTTTCCATTGTTGAGGGTCTTTTATTTTCTTCAAAATTTGGTTAGGGTTTCACCCTAAAAAATCATGGAGTTTTCTAGTCAGGGTTGATCTGGGGCAGCGTTGTTCAGCAGAAATGTCATATGCGACAGAGGCAAGGCATATACAAAGGAGACCCCAAAAAACTGGAATTATCTTTTGGAGGGCAGGCCCCTTGTAGTACAGGTAAGTGTTCCACTCGGTAAGTGTTCTAGACACCCATCCACATCAGCACTGTTGTGAGAGGCTGCATTAGGCTTCAGTGGGTTTTATTTTTTAGATTCATTCAATGCATTTGCCCATTTCATGATGAGTGACTTACACTATTCTGAGTGTTCAGCAGTTTTTGACCAAAAATGGCATGACCCCTGTGTCCCATCCTCCCTATTCATCTGATCTCTCTCCAAGTGACTTTTTTTTTGTTTCTCCGGGTGAAAAAAGTCCTCAAAGGGAAACATTTTGCCTGTGTAGAAAAGGTGAAACAAAAAATGGAAGAAGCACTAAAAGGCATCAAGCTGGATAAGTTCAGAAACTATTTTGAGCAGTGGAAAAAACATCTCTCTGTCTTTCTCTTTCAGGCTAGAGTTGAGTGAAACTCAAGTGGTTCTCTTACAGTAGCCTCCTAAGTAGCTGGGACCTTAGACAGGTACACCACACACAGCTAATTTTTTAGGCTATTAGGAGAGAGAGGTGTCTTGCTGTGTCTTGAACTCCTGGCCTCAAGCAGTCCTCTCACCTTGGCTTCCAATAGTGCTGGGATTACAGGCTTGAGCCACTGCATCCGGCCTTTGACTGTTTTTTTAAGGAGTCATTGACATTTTTCTTATATAACTTTTAAGAAATCCAAATCCAGTAAGTTTCTAAGTATTAGAAATCTATTCGGTATTAGGAGTATGCCTGAAGTTGAAGATGATCAGAATCTCTTTGGATTCAGAACCACAGAGATGAATATGAGTATGTTAAATATATATATGTTCAAATATTAATATAAAGTATATATACTTAAAATTAAATGGGTATGTTAATTATTAAAATATATTGAGAGATTAAAAAACTTTTAAGTAATGTAAACTTGGTCTTCAAATTCACATACAGTTAAGCTACATATACAGTCATCCCTAATATCTGCAGGGAATTGATTCCGGGACCCCCACCTGCAGACATTAGAATCTGCACAGATACTTAAGTCCCTTATATGAAATGGACTATGTAGTCTGCATATAATCCTCCCATATACTCTGAATCATCTCTAGATGGCTTGCAATACCTAACATAGTATAAATGCATTGTAGTTGTACTGTATTTTTACTGTGTTTTTGTATTTATTTTTTAATATTTTAGGTCCATGGTTGGTTGAATTTGCAAATGTGCAGCCTGTGGATATGGAGCCAACTGTACCTATAGTTCCACTGCACCTAAATTCTTTCCACTATGGATGTTAAAATATTCTTCTCAATGTACTTTCTTCCAATGAACACTTTTTCTTTTCAATCAGTGTTATACAAGCTTAGCCATGTGCAGTTACATCGTTCTATAGACTTATAGCAAAAGAACAGTCTCATCCCCCAGCCCCAATTCCTGCTCCTTAGCTATAGCCGCTTTCAACTCTTCTTTACTATGTCTTTAGTGGTATTTGCTTTTATATTCAAAGTAATGAGTCTTCAAAACTATTTTTTAATTTTTCAGTCTTAGATGTTCATTTCCAAAATAGGAAATAAATGGATAAGCATTTAGTTCTCTTAAATTTTTGTATATTCTTCACACTTAAGCTCCAAATACAGTTTTAAAGTAAATTTTGGTTAAGTCAGTGTTGATTGTTACAGTTGTGTAAAGATAATTCACATTTGAGTGCAGTGTGATTACATTATTTTTCTTGTACTACTTTTTGTTTTCCTGAAGATAATAAATATCTGGAGATTTTTGTTCACATTACTTCACTCTGGATCTGTCACTTATTCATGTTCACACTCTGTCAAGAGTATGAGTTTCTTGGTTGTGTTCAGACCCAGCAGTTTCTGCATCTGCTTCATCTTTTTTCTTGGAGTCATCAGTTGGCACATATCTTTCTGCTTGTTCTCTGGTGTGTTACACAGCTCTGTCCCTGATTTCCTCTTCCTAGTTTACATTCATACTCTAGTAGAGCACATCCTCTGTTAACTGCCTAAAACTATGAGAAAGTTTTTGAGTCCTTGCATGCAAAAAATAATAATAATCTTTATTCTACAAAAAAAAAAAAAAAAAAACAACCTTTACTCTACCCTTACACTTGCTTAGTAGTTAGATAAAGAATTGTAAGTTGGAAAGCATTTTTCCTCAGGATTCTAAAAACATTTCTCTATTGTCCTTGGCACTCAGGATTTCTGGGGAGGAGTCCAATTTTCTGTAGAGAATCTGAATCTTGCATGTTGTTTCTGCCCCCCTTTTGGAAACCTTTTCTCCGCAGTGTTTTGGAATATCATAATTTTAGGCATTAATGTAGTTTTTTTTTAATGCATTTTGCTGAGTATTCAGTAGGTCCTCTAAATCTAGAAACTCATGTTTTCCAGTTTGGATTTGTTTTTTTTTTTTAATAAAGTTCATTAATTTATTTAATAAACATTTTGAAATCTATGTGATAATGTTTTAAATTTTTCTTATAAATTTACAAACTTGTATGTATTTATGGAGTACAAGCTGATATTAAGATTTATGAATACAATGTGGAATAATTCGAGCAAACTAGTTAACATATATCCATCACCTAGAATACTTAATTTTTCTGGTGAAAACATTTCAAATATACTCTTAGCAATTTTGAAATGTACAGTATTCTGTTGTTAACCATATTCATTACATTGTGCCATAGTGCTCAAAATTTTAAAAATCTCATCCTCCTAACTGAGGCTTTGTATCCTTTGACTATCATCTCTCTCACTACCACCCCCAACCACTGCCACACCCTGCCTCAGATAACATTGTACTCTCTGCTGCTATGAGTTGGATTGTTTTAGATTCCGAATACAAGTGAGAATATGCAGTATTTGTCTTTCTGGATCTGGCTTATTTCACTTAACATGACGTTCACCAATTCCATCCATGTTGTAGCAGATGACAATTTCTTTTTAAAAGCTGCATAGTATTCCACTGTATTACCACATTTTCTTAATCCATTCATCTATTGATGGACACTTAGGTTGATTTTGTAACTTGGCTATTGTGAATGATGCTGCAATGAACATGAGATTGCAGATATTTCTTCGATATACTGATTTCACATCTTTTGGGTAAATACCCAGAAGTGAGATTGCTGGATTATATGGTAATTCTATTTTTAGTTGTTTTAAGTACCCGCAATATAGTTTCAAATGATAGCTGTATTAATTTACATTCCCACTAACCATGTCCAAGGGTTCCCTTTTCTCTACATCTTCATCTTGTTTTCTTTCATCTTTGATAATGGCCATTCTAAGGAAAATAAATAATGACCATTCTGACAGGTGTGAGATGATATCTCATTGTAGTTTTAGTTTGTGTTTCCCTATGATTAGTGATGTTGAACATTTTTTCATATATTGGTTAGACTTTTGTATGTCTTCTTCTGAGAAATGTCTATTCAGATTTCTTGCCCATTTTAAAATCTGATTATTTTCTTTCTATGAAGTTAAATTCCTTGTATATTTTGGATATTAGCTCCTCATCACATGTATGGCCTACCACTATTTTCCCCCATTCCATAAGTTATCTGTTCACTCTGTTGTTTCCTTTGTTGTCCAGAAGCTTTTTACTTTGATATAACTCCATTATTCCATTTTTGCTTTTGTTGCTTATGTTTTTGGGCAATCTAAAAATCAGCCCAGGGCCAGGCATGACTCCTGTAGCACTTTGGGAGGCTAAGGCAGAGGCAGGAGGATTGCTGGACCCAAAGAGTTTGAGACCAGCTTAGGCAACATAGCGAGACCCTCTCTCTTCTTACTTTTCTTTTTTTTTTTGAGTTGGAGTCTCACTCTGTTGCCCAGACTGGAGTGCAGTGGCATGCTCCCGGTGATCCTTCCGCCTCAGCCTTCCAAGTAACTGGAACTACAGGCGCGCACTACCACGCCCCTAATTTTTTTGTTTTATTGTGGAGATGAGGTCTCACCAAGTTGCCCAGGTGGGTCTCGAACCTGCGGGCTCAGGCAATTCACTCACCTCGGCCTCCCAAAGCGCGGGATTACAGGCTGAGCCACTGAGCCTGGCTCACTTTTCTATTTTTGTCCTGAAATTTTCTCAATTGTATTATCCAGCACCCTTTTTGAATTTTTATTTTTGCTATAAAGACTTCAATTTCCTAGCACTATTTGTTTTTCCACATTTTTTTTAAATTTGTTATTTTGTGGGTACAGTATCTTCTACATCCGAATCTGAATGTCTCATTTAAAATTTTGTCATTCTCTTTTTTACCTGCATTATTTATTTGCCTCCAGTTTTTTTGTTTTGTTTTGTTTTTTTAAGAGACGGCCAGCTGGGCACAGTGGCTCACGACTATAATCCCATTGCTTTGGGAGGCCGAGGTGAGAGGATTGCCTGAGCCCCAGGGTTTCGAGACCAGCCTTGGCAATTTGGCAAGACCTCATCTCTACAATAAATCAAGAAAAATTAGCCAGGCGTGTTGGCACATGCCTGTACTTCTAGCTACTTGGAAGGCTGAGGCGGAAGGATTGCTGGAGCCCAGCAGTCAAGGTTGTGGTGGCAATGAGCATGACAGTGCACTCCAGCCTGGGTCGGAGTGAGACTCTGACTCAAAAGTAACTAAATAAATAAAATAAAGAGACAGGGTCTTGCTCTGTCACCCAGGCTGGAGGGCAGTGGCATGATAATTGCTCACTATAGCCTCAAGCTCCCATCTCAGCCTCCCTCCCAGATAGCTGGGCACCACAGGTGTGCATGCACCCCCATGCCTGGGTAATTTTTTAGTTTGTGTAAAGATGGAGGTCTCACCATGATGCCCTGGCTGGTCTGGAACTCCTGGCCTCAAGTGATCCTTCCACCTCAGTCTCCCAAAGTGCTGGGATTACATGTGTGAGCCACTGCACTGACCCAATTTTTTCATTTTTTTAAATCACTAAATTATTTCCTCAGATGTCTTAAATGTGGCACTGAAACACTCAGCAGAAGCTGTATGCATGGACAGAGCTTCTGACTGGTAGATTTTATTACAAGTTAAGCTAGCAGAACTATGTGTGAGAAAGTCCCAACTCTCAGTGCCTTTGGGCAGGTCATTTTCACTGAAGTGGGATCCTTCAGTCCCCTGCCTAGGAACCATGAGCCTCGCTGTCAGCATTCACACAACCAAAAGGGGAAGGTGTGAGGGAAAGGAAAAACGTATACAGATGCCGTGAGTCCTGTTTGCTACCCTACCCGTGTCCCCCCTCTGCTGTTGTCCAGTTTCCTTGTTACCACTGTTCAGCTACTTCACAACTTCCAGGTTTTTTCGTTTTACTATCACTTTCTCTCATCTCTGTTCTTATGTGTGTATTCCATTATTATTGCTCTCATTTTAGTAGGATACAGAAGAAAACAGAGGTCTGTGTATCTGCATGTTTAACAGGGTCTCAACATACTTTTTGTCCTTTGTGAATATTATTGTACTAGGAACTGAGTAAGAAAGGAAAAAGGTGACTCTGCCCAGCCCACATTTGCAGAAACAAATGAAGGCATCTTCCTTGCAAAATAACTCTTAGACTGTTTCCCTCTAGTAGCACAAGGTGCTATCTGGAAATACTTGGTATTTTGGTTAAAAGGTTTGCTTTGCTAAAGACTGGGAACTTACTTATAATATGGTGATGTGAGCTGCAATTTTTAAAATAATAAATGTCTTCCAAAATGTTTAAGAAGAGAAAGATATAATAAGCTTCTTTGGTTTAGGAGAACTTTTTAAATTATACAATGATTTCAGTAAATCAGTGCTTATTTCCTCCATTCTTTTTTATTCAACATTCTTGTCTTGTGTCTTTGATATGTCACTAGCTATATATCGATACCCTTAGAAAAATATTTAATAATCTTGTTCAGCTTATTGAATACCATCAGCACTAACTCAGCCCACTAGGTAATATTTTGTTTTTGTGTGAAATGAAAAAGTTAAGATTTAAGCTCCAGGCTTAGTATTGAAATTATTTTCTTTTTTCATGAGTATCACAATTCCAGGTAACAAGTTTTATGTAGTCCTTTTTTTTTTTTAACTTTAAAAATTTTTTTTTTCTTGAAAGCAGGATTTATTGCGAGGACAGAAAAGCTCCCACAGTGGAGGGGTCCCGAATGGGTTGCCCTACTTTTAATTTTTTTATTTTAAAGATGTGGGGTACAATTCAGGGTTAGGTATGCAAATGTTCACTATGTGGGTATCCTTGTTGATGAGGTGTGTCCCTCTCGCCTGGCAGATTCCCACTTCTGCCAGTACCGCCTCGTAATCCTTTTTAAAACACAGAGAACCCACTTTTGTAGATGGTTTTGTCATCTTAACTAAATATTTTATTAGGATAAGAAAAAAATCGTTTTCATGTTGAATTATCTAAATCCTTGGAACTAAACTAGTTGCATAATGAATGGTAGTAGCAGCATGACTAAACAAAACTCCCAGATTTGAGGAGTCTCAAATATAAGTGGGTTTTAGGCATTTCTTGTCTGTTCTAATTAGCATTTCACAATCAAGCCTGGAGGTTTGGACTGTGCGCCATGCATCCTAGAAACTAGGGGCTTTCTGACTCAAGAATGAAAGCAAAACAGCCAAGGACTTTAGACAATTTAAAGAGCGTGAAAAAGGTTTAATGGGAGGTGGTGCTTTTTCTTAATGCCGGTGAAAGAAGTAACCAGTTTATAGAAATTTTGTGAGCAGAATCCAAGAAAACACCTGAATTAGAATTAAGAAACTTTGGGGAAAGCAGATTTGACCTAAACCAAGGGTCTGACTGAAAGGAGTTTCTGTTTCTTTCTTTTTTTTTTTTTTTTTTTGAGTTGGAATCTAACTCTTATCTCCCAGGCTGGAGTGCAGTGTCAGCCTCAACCGCGATCTTTCCACCTCAGCCTTCCAGGTAGCTGGAGCTACAGACACCCACCACCATGCCTGGCTAGTTTTTGTGATTTCTTGTAGAGACAAGGTCTCACCAAGTTACCCAGGCTGGTCTCAAACCCCCGGGGCTCAGGCAGTCCCCTCGCTTCGGCCTCCCCAAGTGCTGGGATTACAGGCTGAGCCACCGGGCCCAGCCAAAGGGAGCTTTAAGAAAGACTTTTGTGAGCAGAAGAAAGGATGAACTAGGGAGTTAGACTGAAAAAGGTTTTAACAGTGTGTGGTAGGATAAATAACAGGACAGCGTATCTCGTTTCTATATATGTATCTAGTTATACTCAAAGAACATTTCAGACTAAAGTAGCTTTCACTTTCATCAGTTGCCAGTACTGTATTGTCCAGGACAGCACATGGAAGGGAAAAGAAAAAGACAAGGCCCCAGGGATGCTGTATTAGAAAAGAGACTGTGATCCTTTGGTGGTAGGAGAAAATAACCAAGCAGCTCTATAGTGAGCAAGAACATTCTCTCCTAGAGCTTCTCAGAATTCTATGAGTTTTTGGCTTTGGTTTTGGTTTTGAATCAGGGCCTTACTCTATCACTCAGGCTGGAGTGCAGTGGCACCATCACAGCTCAGTACAGCCTTGACCTCCTAGGCTCAGGCAGTCCTCCTGTTTCAACCTCCCAAGTAGTCGGGTATGCATGCGCTACCATGCCCGCTAATTTTATTTTTTGTATAAACGAGATCTCACTATGTTGCCTAGACTACAGAATTCTATTTTATCAGCTCTCTGTATCACTTGAAAATGCTGTTATTTCTGTAATTTGATCTTGTTAAGGCTGGGATTGAAAACCATTCATCTTGAAAATTTCCAGGATTAAATTTTCTATTGGAACCTACCAGGCTGTTTTTACTTCTGAGAGTTTCTGAGTTGTGATAGAAATACAGTATTTCTCACTTAAATGTTATGCAGTGACATACTAAATAATTTTATTTGCCTTGAAGCTTCTAAACTACTCAGCTTTTCATTATTTGACCTCTGTGAAACTCATGTTCAGTTTTACAGTATAAGCTTTACATCTGCCATGTAAGCTTCTTGAAAACATGCCAAGTGTAGATATAATTGTGCTTTATTTGCCTTTTTAAAAATAAATGTCAATATGTTTCCTATTTTAGGGCATTTGATGTAGAACTGCTCTACATAGCACAGTTCTTCAAAATTCCAATAGCAGAAATTGCTGTCAACTGGACCGAAATTGAAGGTGAGTACGTATTGTTTCTTTTTAGGATGATCTTTAGTCAGATAATACAATTGTCCAGTGAAGTCAGCTGACTTTAATATTTTCCCTGCTGCCCTCATCAAGGCCTTCTCAGATGTCTTGAATCCAAGGTTGGAGCCAGTGCTACAGAGATTATTGCCAACTAGTACCTTCCATCTGTCATGCTGCCTTTTATATTTTTTCAGTCTCTTCTGGGGGCCTTCGGTAGGCCCTGGTGAAGAAACTTTAATGAAACCTCCTACAGTAGGCAGGATCATGGTGACCTGAGGTTAGAAGTAAGGTTGATAGTTTGTGAGATAAACTTTATTGTTTGCATCATCATTTCATCGTCTTTTTTGGTCACTAGGTGGCTACTGACTACCTACAAACCACTGTGCAAGGCTGGATAAGAAATAATAATTGTTTTTACTCCAAATGTCCACAGTCACTTCAGAGCCATTTTCATTTTTAATTTTTTGAGTTGGAGTCTCACTCTGTCGCCCAGACTGGAGTGCAGTGGCCGCTCCTGGCCACCGCAGCCTCGACCTGCTGGGCTCTGGCGATCCTTCCGCCTCAGCCTTCCAAGTAGCCGGAATTATAGGCGTGCGCTACCACGCCCGGCTGATTTTTTGATTTATTGTAGAGATGAGGTCTTGCTGCCCAGGTGGGTCTCGAACCCGCGGGCTCAGGCAATCCACTCACCTCAGCCTCCCAAAGGCGCGGGATTACAGGCTGAGCCACCAAACCCGGCTCAGAGACATTTTTAAACTGTTATCTGTATGTATATCTAGAAATGTAAAGATCTCCGAACTCTTTAGTAATTTGAAATCTATCATAAATCATAGTAACTCCTATTCAGAAAAGCTTAGAAAACTCTGGCTGTATAGGATTTAAAATATATTCTAGTTCTTCTTTTGCTTACTTACATTAGTGTGGTGAACTTAAATCAATTCATGGTGGCAGTTAACATAATCAGTTGGAGTCTTTTCAAAGTGAGCATGGCCCTCTTTGAGAGTCACTGTTGCAATAAGCCACTGTTGCTCTGTAACCTCAGATGTTTAGGAACAGAAAAAGTTTAAGAGCCAGTCTCAAGATTACAAACTATGTAGGCTAGAATGAATTAAACCTTTTGGTGTCTTGCTGAATCCACCTGAATTTACAGAAACTTATCTATCTCCACAGTAGTGGCCAAGAATCAAAAGGGATTGGGAAGCAGGTGAAGGAACCCCAGGGTAGAATGATCAACTCTGCTGAGCTGCCTGTGTTGGCTTCTGTCCAGCATAGACTCTGTGGGAAGCTGAAGTGGAGAAAGTAAAAATCAGTTTGTCATGTCATTTGCTTACTTGCATTATGGAGATAGTTATGTTGTAGTGTGAGTTGGTGGTATCTCCACTTCACATTTGTGGAATAAAGATATTTGTTCCCCGATTAATGATACAGAGTAAGCTGGGCACTGTGGTTCACTCCTGTGGTCCCAGTACTTTGGGAGGCAGAGGTGAGATTATTGCCTGAGACCATGGGTTTGAGACCAGCCTGGGCAACTTGGCAAGACCTCGTCTCTACAATAAATCAAAAAATTGCCGGGCATGGTGGCGCATGCCTGTAGTTCCAGCTATTTGGAAGGATGAGGCAGAAAGATCGCCAGAGCCCAGCAGGTCACAGCTGCGGTGGCCATGAGCATGCTACTGCCCTCCAGCCTGGGTGGCAGAGTGAGACTCTGACTCAAAAAAGAAATTATAATAACAATAATAATAATACAGAATAAGGCTAGTTTCTACAGAGTACTTTGGTGGTAGTGTTTCCAGAAGAAAGCTGCCATATAAATTCATGGCAATAAAAAAAGGTCTTCTTTGAAAATAAAGCATAATTAAAACTGTAATGAAATGTTAAAACTTCCTCCTGATATCCATTGGTATGCAGGTATAGTATTATAAGAATCTGCTGTGATCTGTGGACCCAGCATGGAGTTAGGCTGTAGCCTGAGACAGAGTTCTGGATTAAATTGTCTTAATAGGCCATAAACTTTATTTCTCACCATTAAGATTGAACTCATATGGGGAAATAACTGTATTCATCAGTTAGCTGTATCTTGGGTATGTAATTATTATTTTTCCTTAACCAGCACTTGATGGGTGATTCTTACTCAGTGTTCCTAGAACCCTCCATCTGCAGGCCTTCCCCATAGTGGAGGCTTGGGAAGTGTTCTCAGTTCAGATCCTCCCAAGGGTCATTTCACTTCCAGATGCTTTCTTTTTTCAGAGGAAACCACTCACTTTAGCTTTGAAATTTTTAGGGTTTTTTTCCCCCATGATTTAAGTAAAATTAAGGTGCTAGAAGCTCACAAAGGTCATGTAGACAGACTTCTAAAATAGAGTTTTAAACTGATATATATTCTGAATTTACTTATATTAATTTATTTTTAATTATTTTTCAATCACAGGTTCTAAATTAGTTCCATTTTGGAGCTGGCTACAAATGGGCAAAGACCTACTTTTTATACGACTTCGGTATCTGACTGGTGCCTGGAGGCTTGAGCACACTCAAAAAATGAATTAGGTTGTTGCTGTGATTGTATTCTTATGCATCATATCACATTATTTCATTTGGAAATTTAAATTTTTAAATAAAGCTAAAATAAACCTGTTGTCACTGTTTGCCTCTTGATAATTTTAAAGAAACAGCTACCATAAGTAAAAATGTTTATACCTCTTTTGGACAAAAATTTTTGTTTAGTGTTTGTAATAGAAGTCAGATTTTCTTTTGCTTTCACAATTTTATTTATCTAGGTTAATTTTCATTAAGATTCTGAGAAGATGCTCTCAAGTTCTAAAGTGCCTGGATAATTCTCATGAACTTAAATATAAGCCATAATTATGTAACAGTTTTCAGAGATTTTAAAAATAAATTTAGTATTTAATTTAAATATATATGGGGTTATCCATATCAAAGAACCCCATATTTCAGCCCAGGAAATTTTATGTTAAAGGCAAGAATATAGGCTGAGTCACAGAGGGTGTCCATTTCCTCAGACAGTCTTATTTCTCTCCCTCCTAATTTTACTTATGTGTACTGTACTCTCTTAACTCCTGGCAACCCTCCCCTCTTAAGTTCATGTCACTTGGAAATTCTTTATTAAAAACAGACCTAAAGTTTTTTAATATTAATAACTGTATTTACTTAGCACTGGAAGCCTGCATCTTTGAGACATTATACTGTAAGGGCTGATAGCAACTACAAATAATTAATCCCCCAAATCAGATTTAAATTGTTTCTACTGTCTTAGATAAACAAACTAGTAACAGTAATAATAATAGTATCTAACTTGTATTAAACACCAACTGTATGCCAGTCACTGTTCTAACCACTTGGTGTATAATGACTCATCAACTTTATAACAGAAGTTGATCACAAAGGAGTTTCTCACCTAAGGCCACACAGGAAATCATGGAGCCATGATTCTAACCAACCCTCACTTTTCCTTAATGACTGTGCTAAAATCTTTTTTTTTTTGAGTTGGAGTCTCACTCTTGTTGCCCAGGCTGGAGTGCAGTGGCACACTCATGGCCACCATAGCCTCAACCTATTGGGCACAGGCAATCCTTCTGCCTCAGCCTTCCAAGTAGCTGGAACCATAGGTGTGTGCCACCATACCTGGCTAATTTTTGGATTTATTGTAAAGACGAGGTCTCACCAATTTACACAGGCTGGTCTTAAACCTGTGGGCTCAGGCAATTCTCTCACCTCAGCCTCCCAATGTGCTAGGATTATAGGTGGGAGTCACTGCGCCCAGCCAATCTTCACTTTATAAATGTATGAAAACTGAGGATTGTGAAAGTAAAAAGTTTCAGCAGTACATTAAATGAAACATTTGAAAGACAAGACTTAAGGGAAACCTCAAAAGCTAAAGATGACTCTAGTACTTTGAACAACAGTGACAATATCACATCTGCAGTAGACAGTAGCTTCCTGAAAACAAGCCATTTCTTACTCAAACTAGAATCTCCAGCACAGTGCTTAGCATGTAGTAAACATGTAATCATGATTAAATAAACTTCACTTTGAGATTTAAGTTCCTTAAAGAAAAGCTCATATAAGTAAGAACGGTAGGAAGTAAGTAGAAGAAAAGGCCATGATGTCTCAGAAGGAGCAGGCAGAAAAAAAAGACCATGAGCATTTATAAGAATTTAAAGTCTAAGCCTTGATCCAAAAATAAGATTCTTAATGAAGCTACAATATGGCAATGAAGTAATTATTGCTCTTTATAAGCTAGAGATAAAAATGTGTATTTGAAACATCAGAAGGAATTTTGAGGGAAAGTGTCAATACTTTTTATGTACTTTTTGAGTTGGGTTCTCACTCTGCCATCCAGGCTGGAGTGCAGTGACACAATCATGGCTCACTGCAGCCTCAACTTCCTGGGCTCAGGCGATACTCCTAAGTAGCTGGGACTGCAGGTGCACACCACTAGGCCCAACTGATTTTTTTCTAGAGATGAGGCCATGCCATGTTGCCCAGCCTGATCTCGAACTCATGGGCTCAAGCAATCCTGCCTTGGCCTCCCAGAGTGCTGGGATTACAGTGTGAGTAACTGTGTCAGGTTACTTTAAGCTTTCTAATATCCTCGATGCCATATTATGTCTCTAAGCACAGATTCACCTGAGTATGGTACAGAATCTGAGGCAATCTGAGAGAAAAGATATTAAACATGTTGATTTACAGAGACTATTCAGAAAAATAACAGCCATGGCAAAATGAAATAGCAAAATGTCAGCTACTGTCCTTTTAGTACCTATAAGGATCTGTGATAAACATTCTATATGCATTATTTAGTTTAATCTGGTCAATTCTGTCATTCAGGTATAATTACCCACATTTCACCAATGAATAAGTAGGTGAATTTGCCCAGGATCACCCAACTAGGTATTATTTATGCTTCTACTGAAGTAAAAAATAGTAAACAAAGGAACATGGGGCATGATTAAAACAGTATAACCTCATTACAACCAGACAACTTGACCGTTTCTTTTCTACCTTCTGACTTGTTCTTGTAGAATATGTGTATAAGGACATTGTTTTGAGATCACATCTGGACATAAGTTTTCTTGACATCTGTAATTTTCTATCTCCATGTAGTTATGTACAGTTGACCCTTGGACAACACAGGTTTGAGACACAGGCCTACTTACACATCCACTTATATAAGGACTTGTTTTTTTCTTTGTCGTGGTTTCACTCTTACCCACTGGAGTTCAGTGGCATGATCACGGCTCAGGCGATCCTCTTTCCTCGGCTCCCGAGTAGCTGGGACTGCAGGCATGCACCACCACACCCAGCTAGTTTTTTTATTAGTTGATAGAGTCGCGGTCTCGCTGCATTACCCAGGCTAGTCTCAAACTCCTGAACTCAAGCAATCCTCCTGTCTCAGCCTCCCAAAGTGCTGGGGTTACAAGTGTGAGCCACCACCCCCAGCCACATTTTTTTCAATAAATATATTGGAAAATTTGGAGATTTGTGACAACTTGAGAAAGCTCACAGCTGAACCATGTAATATAGACATATGAAAAAAACTTAATAAGATGTTAAGTATCTCATGAATGTGTACAATACATACAGATACTAGTCTATTATTTACTACTATAAAACATGCAAATCTATTATAAAACATCAAAATATATCAGAATTTATGCATGCAAGCCCAGACCATATATGGCACCAAAGGTGAAGGAAATGTAAACAGGTATAAAGATGCAGTATTCTATCATAACTGCATATACTGGGACTTAGGAAAGCAAAAAAAACCTAACAGTGTAAAATTAACTTTACCAGACTGGGCTCGGTGGCTCAGCCTGTAATCCCGGCACTTTGGGAGGCCGAGGTGAGTGGATTGCCTGAGCCCATGGGTTCGTGACCAGCCTGGGCAACATGGTGAGACCTCGTCTCTACAATAAATCAAAAAATTAGCGCAGCATGGTAGCGTGCATCTGTAGTTCTGGCTACTTGGAAGGCTGAGGCGAAAGGATTGTCGGAGCACAGCAGGTTGATGCTTGGGTGGCCATGAGCATGACACTGCACTCCAGCCTGGGCAACAGAGTGGGACGCCAACTCAAAAAAAATTAACTTGACCATAATAATTTCACAGCTACCTCCTGCTTCTGTTGCGGTGAGCTCAAATATGCCAAGTGTCCACTTAAAATACGCTGTGTGGTGCTTATCAGCTCTGCATGAGCAATTGTCTCGCCAGTAAATTGCATATTGGGTGAGCTATGAAGGTTCTTGTGTAGTTTTCATCATGTTTAGTGCAATACTGCAGACCTTAACACCATGGGACCATATGAAGTGCTGCTAGTAATGCAGGGGTGAAATGCACTTTTTGCAAAATACTTTTATTATCTTGTATTGACAATATGACTTTTATGTAGGGACAGAATTGCTATAAAATGCACACCTACACATTAATATCATTATATAATGACTTCACCTTTGACAAAGCAAAAGGAAGGTTAAGGATCTAAAACGAGAATTTGATGTCAGCAAAGAATGGTTACATCATTTTAGAGAGAGCTGTGGCTTAAAAAAATATCAAGATAACAGGAGAAACAGCTTCTGCCAACCAGGAGGCAGTGGATAAGTTTCCAGATGCCATTTAAGAAAATCACTGAGGAGAAAAAAATTTCTGCCAGTACAGGATTTTAGTGCAGACCAGAGTGCCCTAATCTGGGTAAAGAAAAAAATGCACAAAGGACTTCTTATTAGTAAGGAAGAGAAGCAAGCACCAGGATTTAAGGCAGGAAGGGATAGATTAACTCTACTGTTTTGTGCAAATGCAGTCAGATTTATGATCAGGATTGCCCTTATCTATAAAGCTGTTAAGCTCTAAGCCTTGAAGGGAAAAGATAAATACAGCTGCCAGTCTTTTGGTTGTACAACAAAAAGACATGGGCAACAGGAACGCTTTTTCTGGATTGGTTCCATAAATGCCTTTGTTCCTGAAGTCAGGAATTACCTTGCCGATAAGGGACGGTCTTTTAAAGCTCTTTTGATATTGAACAATGCCCCTGGCCTACCAGAACACCCTGAGTTCAATACTGAAGGCATCAAAGAGGTCCACTTGTGCCCCAAACACAATGTTCTAATTCCACCTCTAGATAAAGGGTTCACAGAGAATTTTAAAGCTCATTATACATGGTACTCTGGGAAGGACTGTCAACACTATGGAAGAAAACAGAACACCATAAAAGTCGGGAAGGATTACATCATTGAAGATGTCACCATTATAGAAAAAGCTGTGAAGGCTATCAAGCCCAAAACAATAAATTCCTGCTGGAGAAATCTGTGTCCAGATGTTGCACATGACTTCACAGGATAAATGACAGAACCAATCAAGGAAATCATGAAAAAGATTGTGATGAGGCCCAAAAAAAGGTAAGGAGGTGGAGTTTCAAGATACAGATCTTGGAAAAACTCAAGCACCAATGGACACTATACCAGAGAAGATGGCTTGATAGAGATGAGTGCTTCCAAACCAGTGCCAGGCGATAAGGAAGAAGACCTAGAAGATGCAGTGCCATGAAACAAATGGACAGTAGACAATCTGGCAGAAGGGTTCCAATTATCATAGACTGCCTTTTACTTCTTTCACAACATGGATCCTTC